GCAGAGCAGGTGTGCGGCTCGGCACGCTTCCGACGTAAAACAGAAGCACACACAGTTTTAGAAGTAGAGCAGGCCACCTGGGTGTGCAAGTGCTCAGTACAAACGTAAGCGACTGCACAGCATCAAATACGGTTGTATTAATCCCACACTGAACACAACAGTTGCACTGTAACAGGAGTCATCGTAGACTTCCTAAAGGCAGTGCATACGAGGACGATGCCACAGCAAGGCACGCGGATACGGAAGTCGCTGTGCAGAAGTACAGCAGTGGCTGTCATATTACCGGTGTGTCTGCGTGTTCACTACCACCCCTGAGTACATGAATGCCCGTGAACAACAGTCCACACGAGGGTATCACTACAGCACACACCTGGAGATACGACATTACAGGAGTCGACACATGTCCTCGTAAAGCAGCACAAATGGATGTCCAGTGCAGCTGCACACAGAAGTAGGCTTGCAGACTCGTGCACTGGAGAACTACAGCAGGACTCACGGAGGTGTGGTGTCAGCACTTAAGGTGTACTAGACAGGACACACGGGCATCCCGACACATGAAGTACTAGTAGAGCTCGGCACACACATCTGTGACTGAGGCACTTTTGTCTTTGTAAAAACCCACACACTACTCCTGCCACATATACTGAAGTGCCCTTACAATTCGGCAAACAGATGGACTTGTACAGACCTAGACGAGAACACCAGTTCACACGTTTTGAGGAGCAGAGCACCGTGCCGGGATGAACAAGGACAAGGTGTAAATGGAAGTATTGGTCCAGCAGTGAGGAGGGCTGTGCTGCCATTACACTGCTTACAGATGCGCTGTAACAGAATGTATCATAGACTCCCTGCACAGCAGCCCCATTGAGAATATTATCACAGCAGTGACCTGGTCATGGAAGTAGAGGAGAGCTCACTGCTGTCCTGTTGTTATTGGCGTGTCCACACATTTACTAGCACATCAGAACATGTGGATGTCTGTAAGCAGCAGTCCCATGCCATGGGTGCAGAATTACAGCAGCACACATAGAAATGTATGTAAAGGAGCACGCAAGGATTCAATATTAAGTGAATGACCAAGAATGCTCTCATAACGCAGCTCACATGGATGTTATTGTACAGCAGTACACAGATGTGCTGTTACAGAAACATACCCAAATGGAATAGTACAGCAGGACTAATGAACGCACAGCATCTGCACTCAAGGACATGCTAGACAAGAGCACACAGACATACTACAACATCACTGCAAATGAGTGACTATGGGGCATTGAACACACATTTCTTCTACGGCCCTACACAATGGCCTGTTTTCAACCACTGATGTAATACTACTGTGGTATAAACTGATGTGATTTACAACAAAGCAGATGGATACACGTCCTGCTCTGCACATGCCTGAACAGAACTGCCACGAACTAAGGGTAGATCAGTGTCTGTTGTGGACAACTACACATTGAAAATGGAAATGTTGGTCAATCATCAATAGCAGCTGTAATCCCAAGGCACTGCACACAGATCTACTTGACAGAGTGGTCGTAGATTGACTCGAAAGCAGCACACAGGAGGATATTATTACAGCAGTGCAACTGGAATGGAAATAGCAGTACAGAGTCGGGCCGCGCCCAGTGATGTCCTAGTACTTGTGTGTCCGTGTATTTACATCATAACGCATGGATGTTCATGAGCATCAGTCCATACTGATGTCTAATTACAGGTGCACACACGGAAAGAGAAGTAAAGGGGTGCACATGGATTCAAAATTAAAGCAGTGGTCACGCATGTCCTTGTGAAATGGCACAAAGACGCCTGAATACAGCCACAAACTGCCCTCTTGCCTCTGGGCTACCTTTAGCTGTCCATCGCCAGGGCAACCAGCCTCCGTTCTGCTCCCATGCTAGGGTGGTCAGCCAGGGGCTGTGCTGCTGATCTTGGTTGGGTGTGGGGTGGGTGTGGGGAGAACAGCTAGCTGTTGGCTGATCTACTTGGCCTCAATGAGACCAATGCCTCTATTTTCCACCCCAGAAGACTGGCCAAGCGTGTTGTCATGGTGATGGGAGATGTATAAGAATGAGCATGCTCAGAGTTCATTCTCTCATCAGGCCTCTACCAGCATCCCATTGGCCAAGGCCAGGCACACATCTGAGCCCAGCTGGTGCCGCAGCCCCTTCAGTTCCTTGAGATGCGTGGATACTGGGCACTTTTGCTATCCTTTGTCATCCGTACCATACTGGGCTGATTCTTCGAATATCACCTCTGAACCTTGAGCTGGGAATGATTCTAAGCTCATTTTCTGCTCACCGGGAAGGGTAGTGTGATCGATTAGTAATGTCTGCCATGGGCATGGCTATGAGGAATGGATTTGTTCCCCTGCCCAAAGCCTCCCAAACTGTCTGCTAGCCTTTTCCCACCCAAGACCCGGTTCAAGATCAGAGTAGTTCGAGGCCCCTGTCCTTGTGCTTTTCCCCCTTTCTGGCATCAGGCAGTGCCAGCTCGTGTGCCTGGCCTGGGCTCTACCGAGCAAGACAAACGTTCTAGTGCTGGATGGGGCCACAGCAGCTGTGGATCTAGAGAAAGTTGACCTCATTCATTCCATCATCCAGACGCAGTTTGAAGGCTCTGCTATGCTCACTATTGCCCACCAGCTCAATACCATCATGGACTATACAAGGTGAACCTGTGGACCTACAGGGTTGACCCTGTTCACACACATGTGGGGTGTGTTTCTGAGTTCCAATACCAGGCCCTCAGAGTGCTCACTGAGGAGACAGCTGGGATGGGCACCGGGCGCCGGGGTCCAGTTTACTCTGCTCTGTGAAGAAGCAGTTGGGGGAAGCAGCAACCAAATTCTCAGATGAGGAGAGAAGGGGCTAGTTCTTCCTCAGGGCTCCCAACTTCTGTCCTTGACATCACTCAGTCACACCATCTGTCGTCTGCCCAGCAGTCATACTGACCCCATGAACACGAGTCAGTGGTATAACTGTCACAACCCTCCTGTGTCCTCTCCCAGGTCTGTTTCACCGGCCTCTGCTATCTGTTCATTCCAGGCCGTTTCCTCTTCTAGAGAGCCTCACACAGCTCCCACACAGAGCCAGGGTTCTCAGATGGGACAGAACGTAGGCCTGTTGTCACCAGGGCCTCTAGAACCTAACCATTTAGGTACTGCAGATCCTGCATTGGTACCACAGAGGTCATCACATGGCACTGGCGGGGGTTTAATGAGTATGCAACAATTCAGAAAAAACCACGTGGTACAGGGCCTGGACCCTGAGACCACCTGCCGATGGATGTGCTGCATTCACTAGTCCCTGGCTCACCCAGTTGGCGTGCATTGAGTAACCACGCTGTGTACTGGGCAAGGCTCTGGAAACACAAGGTAGACAGACCTACAGCTTCTCAAGCAAGTCTCTCGGTTTAAGGAGGGAAGGAAGTTCACCCTTAGCCTCTGCCCTTGAGGGGGGTCTAGGCTGGAAGTCAGTTCTGAGCACATGCTGAGGAGGCAGGGAGGCCTGCTGGCTGGGAAGCTGGGCAGAGATTGGCACTAAAATGCCCAGGCCTCAGTTTTCTCTTCTGTCAAAGGGATTCAGTGACTGTCAAATACATCCACCAAGGGACATAGTAGGGATGGGGGCTGAAGGCCAGCGCCTGCCTCCTCTGAGTCACCTGCATTCACAGCCATGCCTGGTACACAGCTGTATTTGCAGTGAGGAGGAAGACTCTGGTACAGCTGAGACACCTTCAGTGTCAGGCAGGGGGGTGGATGGATCAGGAATAGTGTTTGCCAGGCATGGGTTCCATCTTCATCGCTACAGAAAGGCAAAAGGCCCACGGACAGCGAGAGGCTGAAGATGTGTGCCTGTGGCCTGCTGGAGCTGATTCCTGTTCCTCCCGCAGGGTGGACCCTGCTGGCAGGTGACCTGGGCAGAGGGACTGATGGGCTGGATCACCCTGCCAGCCTGCCAGGTGTTCCCATGTGATGGCCACCCTGTGAGCCAGGCTCTATTCCCAGACCAAGGCAGGGCCTCCACAGAGTCTCTCCAGCATCCCCAGACACACAGCAGCCTGTGTCCCAGGCCAGACAGCTGAAGGGCGGCAGGTCACGTGCTGTGTGGCCCATCTCTGGTTCCTCCAGTGCAGAATTGCCCACAGGACCACTCAGCCTGGGTGGTGAGAAGCCCAGGGTAAGTTGCCACTTGGCCACTGGGTACCCCGTGTCCCCACTTTTCGACTTCAGTTTCTTCTATTGCACAACAAAAGTGGCCCTGGTGCTGAGACTGGTCCTTGCCATGTGGAAGCCTCAGAAGGAGATGCAGGCTGTACTAGCAAAGGGGAATCACTGTGGGCTGAAAGGAACCCCCCAAACCCTGTATCAAGGCGGCCCATCAGGGAAGGCTCAGGGTACAGGGAAGAAGAAGCCCTGTATCCTAGAATCAGGTAGGAGTCCTCTCCTCTCCTGACCCAACATAGCCATTGCCCATGTATCAGTGAGTCATGGGTGGTACTGGGGCCGAGTAAATCAGTGATGCAGCCCCCCCAGGGGGGGCATGGCCCTAGCTTTGCCACGGCTATAGAAGGGCATCTCTGAGCAGAAACCAAGGAGATTGCTCAACCGCTATCATCACAGGGCTCCCCAGCCCTGGTCCACAGCCAGCAGTGGCAGTAATGTTGCTAGGTGACCGCGAGGAGTCAAGGTGAGTGTGGTGGCACATGCCTGTCCTTCCAACACTCTGGAAATGGAGACAGGGGGATCTTGAGTTTGAGGTCCCCACACAGTGAGAGACCCTTCACCGTAACAATTCTAAATAGGTGGAGAACTGAATCCAGAGCTGGGGGTGTCATGCAGTTACTGGAGTGTTTGTCAAGCACGCATAAAGCATTTGGTTTGGGACCCACAAGGAGGGTGTGGTGACGCAGGCCTGCAATCCCAGCACTTGGGAGGGGAGGCAGGAGCATCACAAGTTCAAGGTCATCCTCAGCTACAAAGAAAGCTCAAGGCCAGCCTGGGCTATGGGAAATTCTTTCTCAAAAAAACAGTAAGAAAAAGCACTGGACCCATACACAGACACACGGGCAACAGAGGAAACGTGAGCAGACTGTTGGAGTCAGTCAGTGTCAGTGTGCCGCTTGATCTTGTCCTAGGGTTGGACAAGGTGTCACCTCCGGAACAAAAAGGGCAGAGGGGCCCACAGGTTCTCTGTGTGGTTTCTTAAAACTGTGTGGAATCTACAATGACATCAAGATAAGGACTTAGGGGAAATGTGCACACCATCACCCAGGTCCAGGGCGTCAGCCTAATCGGCCTGGGGTGGGTGTGGCCTTGAAGTAGAACTTGAGCTGAGAGTCACTGTCCACTTTGGCTGCAGAGTGACCATGGCCTTGCTCAGGCCAACCTGGGCATGCTGGGTTCTTCTGGGTCTGGTATTCCAATCTTCTGTCACTTTCTCTGCCATCTTTCTCCTAGAGAGGAGTCAAGATTGGACATCCTGCAGAGCCCCAGGGGCCCCTGGGTCTCTGGTTTCCCAGCCACTGCAGGCACTATGGCTGTCTCCAAGGAGGCTGTCAAGAGTCCCGCTCAGGCAAGGCCTGACTCCTGGGCTAGCCTGTAAAACAGGCCTTGCTGGGCCAGCAGCTGGGCTGGACTGCCGCTCTCGGCCACCTGGCCCTCATCCATGACCAGAACCCTGCAAAGAGGACAAGGAGCAGTTCTTGTGACAGTAGCTGAGGCCCTCGTCAGCTGAGAACCCTTCTCCACTTTGAATTCACTCCCCAGAAGTCTTGACTTTCCAAGCTGTTTCCTGACCCTCCCAGGTCCCTGGGTGCACACACAGTTCCTGGGCCCAATGCCTTTCCCTGGGGACTTGATCATGCCCTGCCCCGGGACAGTGGGCCCTTCGTGGTCCATCTCAGGACACTTGCAGATGAACACACTGTATAACTTCCTGTGCCTCCCAGGCCCTGTGCGTCACTGAGGGGCGCCTTACCTGGCACAGTCCATCACAGAGCGCAGGCGGTGAGCAATGAGCAGTACTGTGCACTGAGCAAACCAGCGCTCAAGGGCTGCCTGCATCTGCGTCTCCGTCCCTGGGTCCACGGAGGCGGTGGCCTCATCCAGGATGAGGATCTGGGTTTTCCGGAGAAGAGCACGTGCCAGGCAGAGGAGCTGTTTCTGACCCACGCTGTGAATGAGCTGCATGGTTAGGCTAGGTAGGTGTCATCAGTTAGAGTAGGCCTGTCTACAGCAGGCCCTGGGGACAGCAGCTGACACTGTCTGTATGTGTTGTTCCCACCACGAGGGCCAAAGTCTACAGGGTTTGGGGCAATTCCGGTTCTGCTGTCTTGGCGTAGGCCGACTGTGCACAAGTCATTCACACCTTCTGTGCCTTGGTCTCTCTACCTGTGAAAGCCTGTTTTCTTTCTTTTTTTCCTGCATGTGCATTGTGGGGACATGTGGGCACTTGTGGGGACACACATCTGCAGGTGCATGTGTGTGCACATGTGTGTGGAGGCCAGAGGCTGGCATCAGGTGACATCCTCAGTTACTCTCCACCTTAGCAACAGAAGTGGAGTGTTTCCCTGGACCCAGCCTGGGCTGTCTCAGCTAGCGTGGCTAGCCAGCTTGTCCTGGGGATCTCTTGTCTCTGCCTTCTGAGCACTGATATTATAGGCTAAGCCCACCTAGCATTTGCATGGGTTCAGGGGATCCGAACTCTGGTCCTCGTACTTGTCCATGGAGCATCTATCTCCCCAGCCCCCATAATGAGTATTTGAGTAGATACCAGCCACAGAAGGTGGCTATTGACTCTTTTTTGTTTTATTTGTTTGAAACAGGGTCTTATTATGTAGCCCTGGCTGGCCTGGAACTCACTATGTAGACCAGGCCTCACGCTCACAGGGATATGCCTGCCTCTGCCTCCTGAATCCTGGGATTAAAGGTGTGGAACACAGTCTTACTTGGTTTCGGTTTTTTGAGACAGTCTCTCACTATGTAGCCCAGGCTGCCCTCAACCTTGAACTCTTCTTGTTGCAGCCTCGTGAGTGCTGGGATCCCAAGCCCGCACCTCCAGGACCAGCTGTGCACAACTGTGCTTCACGCTGCTAAGCTGCACATTCAGGAAAGGCCAGGGCTGGACAGCAGCGCTGGAGTACTTCCTCAGCATGCACAAGGCCCTAGTGAAGGCCGGGCACTGAAAAAAAGCACGACGCATCTCCCCAGCCCGTTTATGTTACGAGTGTTTCATCCTTAAAATACTTTAGCAAAAGGCATTACTGGAGAGATGGCTCAGTCAGGAAAACGCCTGCTGGGCAAACACGAAGACCTGAGTTCAGATCCCCGGAACCCTCCTAAAAGCTGGGCGCAATGGCATGGATCTGTAATCCCAGCTCCAGGAAGGCAGAGACAAGAGGATCCCTGGGAGCCTATTGGACAACCAGCCTAGGAGAATCAGCGAGCTACAGGCTCAGTGAGAGACTCTGTCTCAAAAAATAAGGTGGAGAGTGATGGAGGAGGACACCCAAGGTGGACCTGGCCTCCACACACACACACATTTTAGGGAAAGAACACACACTCTCACTTAGCTGCAATGAATCTGAGATCAGTGTCAAACATCAAGCACGATGTTTCTGCAGCAAAATAAATACTGAGTGGGACAGAGTCTAGGCTGGGCTTTGCCATGGGAAAAGGAACACAGCACAGAGAGAGAGAGAGAGAGAGAGAGAGAGAGAGAGAGAGAGAGAGAGAGAGAGAGAGAGAGA